ATATATACACACACACACACACACATATACATATGTATATATATATGTATGTATGTATAGTTGTTGATTGCCTTCAAGTTGATTCTGCTTCATAGTGACCCCATTTGTGCAGAGTAGAACTGCTCACTAGGGTTTTTAAGACTGCGACCTTTTGGAAGCAGATTGCCAGGCTTGTCTTCTGAGATGCCTCTGGATGGGTTCAAATTGCCAACCTTTCAGCTAATAGTCAAATGCTTACCCATTTGTGCCACCCAGAGACTCCTATATATAAACAATGTTTTCTTTCTGGAAAGGCTTTCTCTTTGCCTCATCCCCATAAAGGATTATATAAAGCAGTGATTCTCAGCTGAGAGGTTTTGTCCCCCAGGGGACATTTGCCAGTGTCTGGAGACATTTTTGATTGTCACAACTGGCAAGGGGTGATGCTACTGGCATCTAGTGGGTAGAGGCCAGGGATGCAGCTAAACACGCTACAATGCCCAGGACAGCCCCACAACAGTTATTTGGCCCAGAATGTCTACAGTGCTGTGGCTGAGAAACCCTGATATGCAGGACACGCAGTGAACAGATGCCGAGTCCCCAGCTCTTCCTTCCTGTTTTCCTGACAGGAAAGACTGCGCCGTATGTCTCCACATTGATTCTTTTCTTTGATGAAAAGACAGCAATGGCAATGCTTTGACTTATTTAGTATATTTATTTTCTATGGCTGCTGTGACAAATTACCACAAATAGTGGCTTAAAACCATACACATTTATTCTCTCACATTCTGTAGGTCAGAGATCCCAGGAGGTTGAAATCAAGGTGTTGGCTGGTCTACATTCCTTCCTGGAGGTCCTGGGGCTGAGTCCTTTTCTCAGCTCCTTCAGGGTGCTGGCAGAATTCAGCTCCGTGCTTCTGTAGGACTGAGTCCCATTCCTTGCCGACTGTCAGTGGGGACTCTTACCAGCTTCCAGAGGCTGCGCTTGCCTTGTGGTCCCCTCTCTCCATCTGCAAAGCCAGCAAGGCTGGTTACGTCCTTTGCACACTTCAGATCTCCCTGGCTGCTCTGCCATCCCCTTCCCTCACGTCTCACTGGTGGACTCTTCTGCCTTTCTCTTCTCTTGTTGAGGGCTCGTGTGGTTTCATTGGGCCCACCACATTAGCCAGGATTATCTCCCTGTCTTAAAGCCAGCTGACTGGTAACCTTAATCCCTCCTGCAAAGTCCCTTCCCAGCCATACCTAGATAAATGTTTGTTGCATAACCAGGGATGAGACTCTTGGGGGGGGCATCTTTAGCATATGCCTGCCATATTTGGTGTCAACCAGGCCCATTTCCCACCTTAATCCACATCCTCACTTTTGGAGGAGAATCTTAGCAGATGTCTGACCCCAGCAATGCTTTTCAAGGCCAGCCTGGTGGGTCTGACATTGACCGGGGTGGACCGTGGCAAGGTCCAGATTTTGCAGTTACAGCAGAGAGCTAGTTCCAACCCCTGCCTCTTGCTGTACTTGTTCTCGTCTTTAAGAGTCATGCCTTTGCTTATTGTCCCATGCAGTGACATTTCCCTTGGGGATCTTGCTAGGAAAGCAAGGGTCTGAGATCCACAGGTGATCGATAGTCCAGCCCCTAAGAGGCAGACAGACCAGGATGAGGCTCCTTCCCTGTCTTGTACTTAAGCTTCAGCCTTTCTTGGTCACTGTGTCATGCTGCAGGAAGCTGTCAGAAGGGCCAGACACCGTGCTATGGCAGCAGGGATTTTGAGGTGGTGCTGACAGGAGCATTGCAAACCCAGCAGGTGGGAGAACATGAGCAGTCCTGTTGTCACTTAGTGCCTGGTGTCCTGCTGCCTGCTTGCCTGCCATCTTCCCTGCCTGCCTGCCTGCCATCGTTCCTGCCTGCCTGTCTACCATCCTTGCTTCTTGCCTGCCTACCTGCCATCCTTCCTGCCTTCCTGTCTGCCATCCTTGCTTCCTGCCTGCCATCCTTGCTTCCTGCCTGCCATCCTTCCTGCCTGCCTGCCTGTCTACCATCCTTGCTTCCTGCCTGCCTGCCATCCTCCCTGCCTGCCTGCCTATCATCCTTCCTGCCTGCCTGCCATCCTGCCTGCCATCCTTCTTGCCTGCCTGCCATTCTTGCTTCCTGCCTGCCTGTCTGCGATCCTTCCTGCCTGCTTGCCTGCCATCTGGCCATCCTTCCTGCCTGCCTGCCATCCTTGCTTCCTGCCTGCCTGTCTGCCATCCTTCCTGCCTGCCTGCCTGCCATCCTTCTGCCTGACTGTCTGCCATCCTTCCTGCCTGCCTGTCTGCCATCCTTCCTGCCTGCCTGTCTGCCATCCTTCCTGCCTGCTTGCCTGCCATCCAGCCATCCTTCCTGCCTGCCTGTCTGCCTTCCATCCCGCCTGCCTGCCTGCCATCCTTCCTTCCTGCCTGCCTGTCTGCCTACCTGCCTGCCTGCTTGCCTGCCATCCTTCCTGCCTGCCATCCTTGCTTCCTGCCTGCCTGTCTGCCATCCTTCCTGCCTGTCTGCCCACCTACCTGACTCCCGTGAGGGGCTGTCCCCAGGGGAAGCCCGGAGGAGTATGGGAGGCTGCTTCCAAAAGGTGATCTGCTTCCAAAAGATCAGAGCCACTGAAAATCCTAGGGATCAGTGTTCTACTCTGACACATACGGGGTTGCCATGAGTTGGAATCGACTCAGCAGAAACTGGTAGAGTTCTCC